ATATAATTCAGATAACTGGCACTTCTCTCATAGAGAGAGTAATATTTAAGGGATAATAATTGCTAATATTATGGAAGTGCAGAAGGTATGAACAATGAATTGTTCACTAGTAAAAACTGGGTAGTACAATCATCAACAAGCAATTTGGAGAAACTAAAATTCACATAATTTATATTTTATCATAGATCTTCCATTTGAATTAATAAAGTCTTGTTTGCAGACAAGAATTTCTTGCATTTAGCATTTTAGCAATGAACATAATACTTTTGGAGGAGCCATTTTGAATAAATTTCCTTTATTTTCTCTCAATCAATTTAATGTTTCCTATATGTCAGAAGGTGGAAAAGGTACTGAGGCAATGGGAATCAGATTATATCTTGATAGTTCTATTATATTTTAAAAATTAAACATATGAGTTAATTTCAGCACAAAGAGTTTTAAAATATTTTACAGAGTAGGAACCAAAGTATGCATATATTAAAATATGCATTCATCTGAACATTAGTTGCAAAAATGTATTTAGTTATTTATAATTAAAAAAAGACTTTAGTTTAAATGCTGAAAGTATAATACTTTTTATAGTAGAAAAGTCTAAAAGATTATATAATTATTTATAAATATTAATATTCCAATAATAATCATTTTGCATGTATTTCCATAAAGATGACCAACTACATAACTCTTCAGATGGCTAATGCTAATGGTGAGAAAGCCTGAAAGCGCTACAACATAAGATTGATTTAATCAAGTACTCATTTCTAGTAGCTATCAAAATTGTATGCTTCCTCCCTCTATTTTTTAAGAACATCCACCATGATAGAAAATTGCTGGAATAATATGTGCTTTGTATTTCTGAAAGGAAGAAACAAAGAATTAAAGAGAAAGGCTAGATTATGAGAAAAGACAAGCTCTTTTTGAGTTGAAAGTGTATGAAATTGTATGCCTTGGAAGAAAGACAAATTGTCAACAGGATACAAAGTAGAGATTCTTTGCTCAGAAAAACTCTATGTAGGTGGTTAGTTCTTTTACTGTCATCTCCCTAACACAAGTCATCCCTATAAACTGGCTAAATGAAGAAAGTTCTACTTGAAGATGTAGAACAATTTCAATACCAAATCAGGCCAGAATGGACAGGAGTGGAGTGAAAAGAAGGAATATGGGAGAGCAAAAACATGGGATTAGTAAATGCTAATGTTTAACCTCTGGGATATTTGGGTCATCTCCTGGAGGAATATATAAGAAAGGAGAAAAATCAAACCACAAAAGAAAACACAAAGACTATAAAAGTCACACTGGAACTAAGGTGTGACAGGAACAGAGAAAACTATTGTTTCTTCTGTCCCAAATTTGGTTACAAACAGGGTACCTGTGAACCCAAACAAGAAAATACACATAGCAGGAAGAAGTTAAGACTTAGAAAAGATTAACTTTAGGGATTCAGAAAAACGAGTGCAAGACACTCAAAGATGACCTTCACAAACTTGTTTATAATCACTAATTTTTCTTACTTTCTTTCCTATCAGCATCTTTAAATAAGTCATATTATTTGTTTAAGTCAGTGTAAGGTCTTTCTAAAACTGTTATTGTTCACTTAAATAGCTATTTACTGACTGCTAAATATCTGTGCAAAAATTATTACAAACTTAACTTAGATATTTTTAACTTTGCTTCTCTTATGTGATACAAAGAACTTTGTTGAATTTTTGTCTATATTACTTTTAATATCGATAAATCTCATTAATATTGATGTTTTTCAATGTATTTTAGTTTTTCTATAATTCCATATTTCAATTTTTTCTATTTTTTTCCATAAAAGTATCAGCTTAAAAATTAATATTGCCATGGAAGCACACATATAGAGAGCATGTATATGGACAAAATATCAATAATATTTTATACCTATCAATATTAAAAAGAAAATATTCATAAATAATAAATATATCATTATAAATAGTTAAGTTTGGCATCTTAAATTCAAAATGAAAAATGAATATTACTGAATTGTGTAACAAATAGAACCTAACATTATTTCCTTGTTTATTCAGTTGTTCAATTAGCAAATTTTCAAATATTAAAAATGAATTCTAAATCTGAAGCTTATCTTCTAATAATAGGGATCTTTTAACAAGCATATTATGTATAAGGATTTTCTCTTATAATACAGGTAATTTAAAAACTTCTTAATTTATTACTTATATAATAGCCTTATTCTAAATAGTAGGAGGTATTTTTACGGCACAATCTAGTTTATGCCATAGAGCTTTATTATGTATATGAAAAACAAAAAGTTTCCAGTGATTCATTTGCTTTAAGAAAGGAATACAAACCCCTTAAGAGTAAGTACAAAAGAAATGAAAAAAATTAAAAAAAGAAAAGGTTCTGGGCCCTTACTTTCACCATATAGTATTACAGTACTGGTAAAAATTATGAGTTAAACATTGAACAAGATAGAATAACTCATGCAAATATAAGAAAAAAAATCTATGGAAAAATCTAGTTAGGTCCTTAAGAATATGTATTCACAACAAACTCAAATCTTGGCTCTGCCATTTTCTAGCTATCCTACACTTTACATGAGATAGTTGCTTATCCAATGGAGCCTCAGTTTCCTCTTCAGTAAAATGGTTATATTCATATCTAACAGGGAGGATATTGTGAGAATAAAATAATGTATGTATACATTTAATCCAAGTTGTAAATGTCACATAGAGTCAATAAATGATCGCTATCATAAATAAGTGCGTTTATTTCTGTATTGGAAAAGCGTGTGTATTTTATGCTAGAGACAAGAAAGATAGCTTAATGTTAATCGAAATCACAACTTACTACAGAAAAGGTTCATAAGGTGAGATTCAGAAAAATTCTATAGCTTACCTGAACTAAAGGACTCAGATTTTCTGTTAAGTAACCGGATAGTAATCCAAACCCAGGCGTATTTATCTCTGGTCATCTTTCTACTAAACCAATCTATTTTTTAAATGAGTCCCTACTGTTTATTTAATGGTTTACATTTTATTTTGGTTTGTTTTCTTTTAAAATCAAGTTCAGTTTACTAAAGGAATTCCCAATTATATATTATATTTTTAACTGAAACATACTAAAGATAATTTAAACAAATACAATCATGCTATGTGCACCATATAAATTAAACTGGTATATAAGCTGGCAAGTGGTTGAACCTGTTTATAATTTTTAATGAAAAAATCAGATAAATATTTTAATATAAAAGGAACACACTTCTAAGGCAATGAATAAATATTCAGGATTATCAGAAACCTACAAAATAAGATATTTAAAAATCAAACTGTCCATCTATGAAGATTTATGAGGGAAACGAAAGCTGTGGTAAACCATAATCCTTTTATGCAAGAGTGTATGAGCCAGTTCTTATTTTTAATTAAATTAATTAAGCAGATGATTTTTCAGAATGAGTTTGGCAGATTTCAGAGGAGCTATCCACAAAGACATTCTGAAGAAACACAAACAAACAAACAAACTAAAGAAACAGCTGTGAAATTCTTCAATTTTTAATAATTGTGAAAAAACCTATAATTTGACATTCCTATTTTAGCTTTCACATTTCAAAATATGATTTTAAATGTCTTAAAATTGTCTTTGAAAATGAATTATACCTTAATGTATACTTTTATACAATGCTTTTGGAAACAGCAATTCTACATTTTTTCACAAAATCTTATTATGCAATCCAAATATAATTGTCACAGTTCTAAAACGACCTTGAAATGTTATTTCTTTAAAATATCACTGATAAACAATAAATGGTCAGTACGATATTCAAATTTTCATAGAAAGGTCGCTGAGATAACAATGTAAGAAGCATAACCTCAGTTGAGATTTCAATAAAACCTACACACTGCTTTTTTTCCTAACAATAAAAAATTAGCTTATACAACTTTACTAAATTTCCTCTAATCAAACACAATATAAATAAAGCAAAATGAAATTTTCTCTATTGTTTTCATTATTATTTTTAAGTTTCAATTCGTTCTTGCTGGCCAAATGGCTCTCTGAAGAATGCACACTTACACTTTATGAGTAATGTGCTACCGATTAAATAAGCAAAAATGAGGCAAGCCTAGAATTATCTCTTGGCACAGTCAACTTGCTGATCCCTAGATACTTTGTTTCTTTTGCGATGTCAAAGGAAGTTGGAACCTGGGTTTTGTTTATGATCTGAAGTGTTTTATACCTCTGGGATCAGCTGAATATCTAATATGAGAATAGAGGATTTTCTGAAGGAATCTTCACTAAGAAAACTCATGAATAATAAACTGGGTGGCTCAAAAATATTTTTATTTGAGATGGTGATTCTTCCCCTGGGTAAAAAGTCAGAAATACTTCATTTTTGATTGTTTGATTCTTCATTATTCTTGAAGAAAAAATAAGTTGTTGGCATATATCATATCTGGCATAAAGACTGCAAAGACAGTTCTTGAGGCTGTAAAATAAACATTCTAAGAGTGCTTTAGTTCATGTAATCCTTGCATTTTCTTTTCAGTCTGCTCCTTTTTGATGAACACATTTTAATTCCTTGGAACGTTGACAGCACAAAAGTTTAGATATAATTGCTTCTATAAAATAAAAAATGTATCTTCTATACCACTATGTATATAAGTATATTATTTACTTACGCTGCCTTTTTCTTGGACCTGGAGGAATGTAATAGTTAGTGGCTTACCACTTTTCAACCTTTTTCTAAATGTTTCATATTCTTGCATTAAGAAAAAATTTTAGAATAAGAATCGATGCACAGAAATGTTTGGTCGAAATTAAATACTGCACGATTATGTAAGCAATATCTAATTCTTCCCATGGTGGGGAGAATTTATGATACTGAAAAATGTAAATAACCCAATTTTTGTTTTTTCATATAATTATGTAATTATTTTTACATTTTCATAGAGAATATTTTGTCTATGCATGCAAAACAAAGCTTAATATAATTTATTTTTATAAGAAAATCATAGGAATATACATACTGTAAGGAACACATTCGTACTGAACTTCAAGGTATTTATAGGTTCCCGGACATGGGTCTGGAAAAACATCAGGACCTGCCACCACTGCACACTGGGTTCTGTTATTGCACCTGAAGTTAAAAGAAGAGAAATAAGTTTATGCAGTTAAATCATTCTCAACATTGTATTTTATTACTAATTGTATGTTAGTTCTTGTTATACATATTTAAACAAGGTTTTGGTAATTTAGTATTTTAAACTTATTAAGGAAATTCTGTAGTATACTTTAAAATAAGCTAGACATAAAAATCAATTCATTCAGTTTACTCATATTAACTAATTTAATATTTGATTGAATTCGGCATGATTTTGAGTTAGAAGTTAAACACTACTTAAGGAAAATTAACTGGTCTATAGGATATTGTCAGTGTGAAGACAGCTAAGAAGAATTATTTGGTAGAAAAGACTCACTCCAATTACAAAACTAAATTAAGAAAATGTAACTGCATTATTTTATTAGTTTTAAATTAAATTCACTGATTTTCATGACATTCCTTTTTAACAGACAGTTAAATATGGTGTTGAAAGCTTTGAGCCAAACCTAAAAACATGGGTAGAAAGTTAATATTTAAATAATATAATATAAAATAGTTTGTACTTAATATAAAAGTAAGTAAAATCATTTTTAAGAATTTGCTTATGTTTAGCCAAATAATGACACTAAACTTATAGAATGCTGTTCACAAATGCCAATATCATATAATTTAAAATAACTTTAAATCTCCAAAGAGAATAATCAAACACCACTATTGAAATAGAAATACAAAGTATCTTTCTTGGCAACAGGGTTAAACAGATTAGGGCTACCATGATTTAATCATGGGCAAATACACATGTAATGAAATTGATTCCTACTCTGAAAAAAAAATACCCATTTCAGAGCAGCGTCATTATGGTAAATTTTACTAAGAAACTTTTTAGATTCAATAAGTTATCAATTAGTAGAGATTTCTGTGGGAAATCATGTTTTTTTCCCACTCAAATTATTGACTCTAAGAGTATAGGATGAGACATTCTAGTTAGCCTCTGTATATGTTCTTGTTTATTTATCTCAGAAATATTATAACTCAGGGCTAGATTTTTCTGTTACTTTCTTAAACACTTCATTCTCTGATATAACCTATACCTCTGAATCCTTGCTAGGATTCTGGCAGGATAGGGAGCATTTAGGTCAGAACTCATTTTGATTAAGAGTAAAAATGTTTTGTGTTTACTCGAGGCTACCATTTGTCAGGCTTACTGAGGATTTTATTTAGTCCCAAAATTAAAAGATTCTTTAGTGAATGTCTTAAGCTGAAAAACATATTCTGTGTTATCAGTGAAAGATTAATGAAAGTCTATATTCCATACTCATCAGACAATTTAGCATAATGGTTAATCCTGAAGGTCAACATGTTCTACAGTTCTCTTGTATAGATTTAATGTCTGAGGATGAGTATCAGACAACTATATAATACATTAATGTAAATGTGGCTGTTTTCACACATGCATTGCAAATAGGGGCTTGATATTTTCGTGTACTGAACTTTTAAAAACAATAGAACTTAAAAAAATAGCAGAACTTTCCTATTACATGGAAAACCCATTTGAAGAAGCTGTTTCAAGTTAAAAGACTTGCAGTTAAAGGAATACAATTTTCATATCACACCTTGAAAACATAAACTCATAAATCTATCTCAAGATATTATACAATGAGCACCTAGATAAACTGAGCTATTTCCATAATTATTATAGAAAATTAGCTATTAGCTATTCAGGAATGCATTTGAAGTAGAAATAATGAAATTGAAAGAAATATACACAATAAAATTTGATGATATGTAAATATTCTGTAAGTATAATATTATTGTTGATCTCCAGTCCTTGGTTTACTTTTATTTACTTCCTATATCAACTTTTTCTTTTTATTACTACAGACGTAACAGTAAAATTCATTTAGAAGCTGTGTCCATTCTTGTAATTTTCAGATACAGACAACCATTTACGAATCCTTTATTATTTAAACAATCAACATTTGATATCAACAAATCAGATTACTACTCATTTATGAATAGGGTATAAAGGTTAAAATTTACAAAAATGGAAGTGTTTGTTTCACAGAAAGTTATCTTGAATCAATAGGAATGTCAAACGGTTATATTTGTACAGACTAGATAAAAATATAATATAGACACTACACACATCCTTCTATTCATCCATCTAGTTATCCTAACCTGCACATTGACCTATTTACACATTATTTAAATTTTAAAAATACTAATTATTTATGTATATATAAGAAAATTGAAACAAGCAACCATTTTTTATAAATATTAGATAGTACTGTGAGTCCTAAATATCTCAACATTAGCAAAAGATGAGTCAAAAAAGCTTTCTAATTGATGAGATAGTGTATGAGAAAAAGTATACAATCCAAAATGTGCTATACCAATAATATATTCAGTCATTATCATCAATGTTCCATAGAAAACAATGATGCTTTATAACATTCCCTTTTCAAAATAACTTAGTATTCTATTACTTATCTATATCAAGTGGTTTTTATAAATTAAGATTCTTAAAAATCAAAAAAGAAAGGCAGACAATCTCTGAAATATTATTTCTGTATAGGTACATTATAAATTGATTGTTTAAAGACTACCTACATTTTGAAAACAGGAGTTTAAAGCTCTTTAAAAAAAAAAATGATTTCAGTTACTGTGAGTCAAAACAAAGTCAACTTTAATATTAGATTAAAGACTAATGAATAATTGACATCCATAAGAGTACTTTTACAGTTATATCAAAATTGTCTAAAGTAAATTCATTCTAAAATAATACAGATGATAAAAGTAAAATAATGGAATGTTCTCATGTGCTCTAAACTCAGATCTTCCATTATTTACTTTTAAAAGAAACATAAATTAAAAGTGATTTTCAGTATCTTTGATGTTAAAAACTCTTTTCCAGCTTTATTTAAATATAAGACAATTAGTTGCTCATATTTACATTGTACAATTCAATGAGTTTTTTTTAAATTATAGTTAGCATACAATAACATACCAGTTTCAGTTGTACAGCATAGTGATCAGAGATTCACATAACTCACAAAATGATTACCCCACTAAATGTAGTACCTCTCTTCCCCCTTACATATTTATTGAAACTTATTAACCATCTTCCTCATGCTACATACTACATCTCTATGTCTATTTTGCAACATCTATTTTACCTCTAAAATCCTTTGCCTTGTTTTTGCCATCTCCCCAACCCCCCTCCAATCTAGTAGCCTTCAAAATATTCTCTGTATTTATAAGTTTATTTCCATTTTTGTTGTCGTTGTTGTTTATTTTGTTCTTTAGATGCCACTTGTATATGAAATCATGTGATATTTGTCTTTCTCTATCTGACTATTTCATTCAGCACAATACCCTGTAGGTCCATCAAAACAATATCTTTTTTCCATCCCCTTCCTTTTAGTCTGTGTGTGTCTCTTAATCTGAAGTGAGTTTCTTGTAGGCAGCATATGTAGGGGTCTTGTTTTCTTATTCATTCAGCCATTCTATCTTTTGGTTGGAGCACTTAATTCTTTTCCATTTGAGGTACTTCTTGATAGAAATGTAGTTAATACTATTCTTTATTCCTGTTTTTGATGCATGTTTTTTCTTTCTTAAAGAAGTCTCTCCAACGTTTCCTGTAATACTGGCTTGGTGATGATAAATTCTTTTAGTTTATTTTTTTCTGGGATGCTCTTTATCTGTCCTTTGACTCTAAATGATAGCTTTGCTGGATAAAGTATTCTTGGTTGTAGATCCTGGGTTTTTATCACGTCGAATATTTTGTGCCAAGCCCTTCTGTCCTGCATAGTTTCTTTTGAGTCTTATGAGTTCTCTCTTGTAGGTAACTAACTGCTTTTCTCTTGCTGCTTTTAAGATTTTTTTCTGTGTATTTAACCTTTGCATTTTATTTATGATGTGTTTTGGTGTGGGCTTCTGTAGGTTCCTCTTTCTTGGGACTCTTTGAGTTTCCTGGAGTCGTATGTCTATTTTCTTCACCAGGTTAGGAAAGTTTTTCATCATTATTACTTCGAATAGCTCAATTTCTTGTTCTCCTTCGGGTACCCCTATGACATGGATATTTTTACATTTAATAGTGTCCCATAGCCCCTTAAATTATTATTATAGCTTTGGTTTCTTGCTGTTACTGTCTTTGGTTTCTCTGTCCTTCGTATCAGTGGTTTGATCCTCTTTAACCACTGTGTTTATTCCTTCTAATATATTCTTCATCTCAGATAATGGGTTCTTCATTTCTGACTGGTTCCCTTTTATAATTTCCATTTCCATTTTTATGTTTTTTATCTCTTTGTTACAGTTCTCACTAAATTCATCTACACTTCTCCTAAGTTCATTGAACATCTTTATAACCAGTGTTTTGAACTCTGCATCTGTTAGATTGCTTGACTCCATTATTCCTAGATCTCTGTTCTGTTTTCTCATATGGCTTTTGCTTCTCTGTCTTCCCATTTTGGCTGCCTTTCTGTGTCTGTTTCTATTTACTAAGCAAAGTTTCTAAGTCTCTTGGTCTAACTAGCACAATTTTGTGTAGTAGGTGGCCAGTGGCATAGTCCTGTGAGGGTTTCAGCTGCAGGCCAAGTTTAGCCCTAGCCTGTGTCCCTCCAGGGCTATCTGTTAAGATTCAGCAAGCAATCCACAGATGCTGTGCTCATAGTTGCCTTAAGAAACCACACGAGAAACTGAGGCCAGCTGCCACCAGTGTAAGTCTTGGCACTGCTCAGCAAGGAGCACCTGACTTGTAGAGGACACACCTGGATGTGGCTTGGGTGAGGCCGTGAATTGGGGCAGGCAGAGTTTCAGGGAGTTCTCTGGGTGGAGCGAAGTCTGTCATCCAGTTTGATGATGTCTCAGCTATGGTAGCACTGTCTCTGCACACTGGGAGGATGGAGAGCTCAACAGAGGAACGAAGATACTGCCAGCACTTCTGTTTGGGAGAGAGAATCACCTCTGGCCCTCATTTTGACAATTCAGTGTCTCTCTGGTGCCTTCCCCGCATCCCAAGCAGCCCTGACCCGTGC